CACAGGCCACTCTCCCGCCTTCCCGTCCCTTCCCGTCCCTCCTGCCCCCACAGACAACCAGCTCAGTCAGCAGCCATCCACAGAGCCTCCGTGCCCTCGGAGAGCTCAGGCCCGGGACCCGCCTACAGCGCAGGCTCCCAGAGCAGGCTCCTGGGCCTCGGCCCCGCGCACAAGCGTCCGCCTGCCCTGCCTGCAACTGTGCCCACTGGCTACCACAGGAAAGAGGGGTGGACTGGGCAGCCCAGAGGCAGGGTGGCAGGCGGTGGGGTGGAACTCTTGGTCCCTGCCCCACCCAGCACAGCCTCTTTGATCCCAGGCTCCCGGACTGCAGCCCTTGCCTTCCCCATCCGGGCAGAAGCGGCTGTAGAAGGCAGACCCACCCCAGCCCAGCCTGCCAGAGGTTCTGGGGCCCAAGGATCCGCATGTGGCCAAGGTCTCATGTGGCAGGATGTGTGCCCCTCTTGGGGACTGGGTCACGCAGATAATGCCACAAACTGGGTCAGGATCCAGAGGAGGGCCGGAACATACCCAGCTTGTCTGCCTGCGGCCCCTGCAGACACGATACCCCGAGGGGATCACAAGACAGGTCAGGCTTCTGGCTGGAGGGCAAGACAGGTGCTCAGGGGTGACTCTGGTGAAGGGATGCATCCGGAGGCAGGGCTAAAGGCTGGGGTCCCACAGAGTGCCACCTCCAGTGGGGGCCTCGCCAAGCCCAAGGCTCAGGATGGGGCTCCAGACCCCGTCACTGGGGTCTCCCCTGCCAAGCCACAGATGGACGAGGCTCGTTCTGTGAGCCCCAAGCTAGGGAAGCACTCCTTACCCTGCTTCCAACCTCACCATCCTGTCCAGGTAGAGAAGCCTGGGACACGTCCCCGGGGGCATGAAGACCCGGTAAACCCCTCCCCCACGGGTCAGAACCATCCCTCCTCCTGGCTGAAGGAGCAGGCACCCACCACTGACTTGCCTCCTATCACCTGCCCAGGCATCCCTGAGCCTGACAGGAGCATGCCCTGTGGCTGAAGCTCGGCCTGATGTGACAGCAAGCGGAGGGACCAGGCACAGCCCCTGCTGCACCCAAGCCAACAGCACGCAGTGCCTGCTGAAATGCGTCCAGCCTTCCCTGCTGAGCGCCAGGTGGGGCTCGAGGGGGCAGTGGCCACACCTGTAATCCAGTGGCTCTGGAGGCTGAAGCAGGAGGATCACAAAATCAAAGCCAGCCTTGGCAATTGAGTGATGCCCTAAGCAACTTAGTGAGGCCCTGTCTCAAAATAAAATATAAACAAGGGCTAGGGACGTGGCTCAGTGGTTAAGTGCTTCTAGGTTCATTCCCTGAGAGGAAGAGGAAGAAGAAAAGAGGAAACAAAGAGAGGAAGAGGAGGTGG